CGCTTCCTTCCGTCTGGCCGAAGGACCCCTGGACAGCATTGATTGCTCCACCTCGGTGGAGGATTGACTGCCAGCTTGCCCATCCTCTCTCTTTCCTCTCAGACCAGACAATTAGGTCTGCCTGATTTCATCGCTACATCCTAGAAAGAGTCCCTCTATTGTGATCATCCACCCGAGCCCTTCCCGTTCCACCTGTTTTTTCTTTTTACCTAAGCAACCATTAAACCATGAACCCTAAACCCTCGTCCTTCTTAACTGCACCCCGATATAACATTCCCATTCAAGGATCGCCTTCTTCATTGCTCCGGGACTCGTTACTTTGGCCCTTTTGCTTCCCTTGTTCACCTGCGTTACCAACTTGCATCCTGTTCCCCTCCGCTGTAGATCAAGGGCAGAGATCCGAAAGCAGAACTGACTAAGTTAGAATCTGAATCGAGGGTTCCGCTCCCTGATACTATTGCTTTGCTGTTCCAGATTCCTTCTTGAGGCAGTGTTGTGCCACTCCTTCCTCCAGATGGACTCATTCCTCCTCTCAGCAGCCTTCCCCCCTGCCAACCATGACTTGATAAACTTGTCTCTAGCCTGCGTCCGCTGCTCTTCGTCGTCTGTTCCTTTTCTCCTGATCTTCTTCCATCTGCATTGAATTTCTGCCTGTATCAAAACCTTAGTCTCTACCCAGACTCTCTCCCGTGCGCTAACAGCCTCCTCAATCGTTCTGCTGCATCTTGCCTTCCATTTGACTCAAGGGAGGTCTTACTGATGAACTCAAAACAGATCCTTTAATGTTTTCCGAGGCCACTTAGGGATGATTTCCTCTCTTTCCTTTAGCCCTCCTCCCTTTGTGATCTCAGATATCCTCATCCCTCCTCTCTCCATTTGAAGCAAAGTTGTACACCTCTGGGCTCTGCTACTTTCCCCTGGCCCAAAGTATTATGTTTAAATTTTCTGATTATTTCCTTCTCATGCCCAGGTTGTTGTCTAGCTTGCTGTCTCACCCTTTTCCACTGTGCGTTGAGATGTGATTCCACTGTATTGAGTAGCAGTTCTCTAGCTTCCTCCCTATGAGTTAGTGTTCCTTCCATAGTTGCCTGACATCTCCTTTTCCAAATGGTCCACAGTCCATATTGCCTCAGCAGTTGAAAGATGTGCCTCTGGTAGGGTTGCCATCCTTTGGGAACCCCAACCCCCAAAAGCCTGGTAATCTTTGACTCTGGAAAGGCTATCGTCACTACCTGTTTCCAGATCCCCCTAGCTTGTTCCCACATTTCTTCTGCCTCCTTACATTCCAGTAGACAATGCACCAAAGTTTCCGGAAGCCCTTCTTGGCACAACCTGCAAAGTTCCGCTTCCTCATTTCTCTGGTTGTGACTTCTTCTTTCGATGAGCCACACACTCACTGGCAGTGCCACGTGCTCAATTAGCCATTGCATACTTCTAACCTGACCCAGTCTAATAGATAGGATGCTAGACCACGGTATATCCGGCATTAGGCTCCTGGGAATCCCTACTTTCTTCTCCCAACGTTTGGTCAGAGTGTGACCCATGGACCTGGATCTGTTCCTCAGTCTATACCCCATTTTTGTGGTATATTGGAGAATGTTGAATCTTCTTGCTACTCTTGACTGTCCATCTCTAATGTTCCAGGCCCATTCTCCAGGATCGACCTCTAGATCCTCGATTGGTACTGTTGAACTGTACACTGTATACTCATCCATCTCTATCACTCTTACCTTCTGTAACCCTTGTTTGAGAATATACAATGGTGCTTTGGAGGACTTGTCCAGTTGGGAAGTGGTACTACTCAGCTGTATTATGTCATATTTATCAGCTACTAGCCATTCGTTCCTATCTTTGTCCGTGTCCCATACCCTGAAGACCTGTTTAGGTTCCGGATCATCCTCCCATGTGGCCCAATCCCCCTCTCGCCATTGCTTTCCCTCTCTCAGCATTAGTACCCAGGTTGGGTGTATGGAGTCTGTGACTATTCTCAGATTGTCCTGAAGATTGTGGCACCCCTTCAATGCTCTCCTCAATTCCCCTGCTGTTTTCCACCGTTTGTTCTCATCATCCCAAATRTGTTTGATCTGCCATATCCCATGCTCCACCCATCTGCCCCATCTCGAATCCTTGCTCGTAAGTGTTAGAGGTTTTCCGCCGCCGTCCCTAATGCAGATATTGCAGAAGATCGGTTGTCTTAATACCTCCTCCCTTGTAGTCGGTTCGCTGACCCTTGCTGGGAAGACCTCCTTCCACAGCTGTATTAGTTGTAGCCAATAAGAGGGGTTTCTAGCCCTCACACCTTGTGCATCCCTGTTCTCCTTCCTATAGCCCACTTTAGCCCAGTTGCTACACATGATCCAGAATAGACCCGCCATATTGCCAGGTGTTTTGTACATAGCTATCTGCCTGATCCTTTCCAATACTAATGAAGTCCATGATAACCTAGGCTGTGAAATTAGCTTGACCACCCATTTTGTTTGCAAAGCCTTCAGTTGTAGACTTGGGTCTAGGATGCCTAGGCCGCCTTGACTCTTGGTTCTGGTTACCGTTTTCCATGCCACCTTGGTTATGAAATGTTCCGTGTTGTGCTTCGCTGTCCACAAAAAGGCTGCTGCCTTTCTCCTAAGCTGGGTCAATGTGGCCTTGGGGGGAGTCCAAATTGACCCCGCGTACCACATCATGGAAAGGATCGATGCGTTCAAGATCAATGCTCTTCCGTATATTGAGGTGTACACTGTCGACCAAGCCCCGAACTTTGCTAACATCCTGGCCATTATGTCTGCCGCCATAGACTGGTGAGACCCCTCTTCTGTTATTTTGATCCCTAGGTATCGAAGCGGTTGTTGAGGTGACATCCATTGAAGCCCCTCCGGGCTAGTGACTGGTATCCGGTACTCTTGGTCTAGCTCCACCATCCACCAGCCGACTGTTTTGTGCCAGTTGATTTTCATTTCAGAAGCCAGTTGGAAGGCATCCATAGCTCTTGTTAGCGCTTGGAAGGAGGAGTCGGTTGCTCTTATTAAGATTGTCAAATCATCGGCGAAAAGTATCGTTGTGGGGATTACCACCTTGTGTCCTAGCTGGTCTGGTGGAACTGTTAGTCTTTCTATTGACGGGTCCTTTCTCATAAAGGAGGGTATTGCCTCCATTATGAAGAGAAAGATAGGAGCAGCTAGGGGGTCTCCTTGCCTAACCGACCTTGACATCGGGTAGGTAGAGGATAAGTGACCATTTATCTGTACTTGTCCTTGTGCATTGTTGTATAAGACCCTGATCCACTTCCTAAAGTTCGGCCCTACCCCCATTTTTTCCATGCACAACTGCTAAAAAGGCCAACTGACCTGATCGTAGGCCTTTTCGAAGTCGAAAAACAGGATGGCGGCATTGATTCTCTTGTCCCTTATGTACCGGACCGATTCTGTTAGGCACATAACGTTGTCCAAGATTAACCTGCCAGGTATGAATCCTGTTTGATCCAGATGGAAGCAACCCGCCGTGATTTTGGATAAGCGATTAGCTAACGCCTTGGCTACTATTTTGTGAGTGAGAGTCAACAAAGTTATTGGTCTATAATTTCGTATGTCCGTTGGACTCCCTTTTTTGTAAAGAAGCGTGACTATCCCCATTGCGGGCTCACTCCCTATACCCTCTTCCTGCCATGCCTGTTCGAGAAAGGAAACAAATTCCTCTCCCAAGATTGGTCAAAATTCTAGCCAGAATTCTCTAGTCAGGCCGTCTTTCCCAGGGGTTTCATTCGGGGTCATCGTTTTTAGTGTCTCCCATAACTCCTCCTGTGTTAAGGGTTCGTCTAGCATAGCAGCATGATTTCGTGAAATTGTGTGCTGAAGATAATTCAGAAACTTTGATCTCGCCTCCTCAACTTTAGGCTTAGGGAACTGGTTTTCCACTGATGTATAAAGCTTACTATAGAAGTCGAAAGCCACCCTTAACAACCCCTCCTTGTCGGAAATCGGCCCCCCTTCCCCTTCTAAGCTCTCTATGAGATTGTTCCTGCCCCTAGTCTTGATTTTTTGGAAGAAAAATTTGGTCATTCTCTCCCCTTCCTCCCATTCTTTGATTCTAGCTCTCATTCTTAAGCCTTTCATTTTCCAGCGTTGCCATTCCACCATCTCTCCCCTTGCCGCCCCTAATGTTCTTTCATATGTTTCGTCCCCCGGCCTAAGAATAGTATTGCGCTCTGCTATCTCTATTGCACGCGTCAGTTGTTCCTCCCTTTCCTTCCTCTTTGACGCGAGCCTCCTAGCCACTATAGCAGAAGCCTTAGACAGTGATGTTAGCAGTTGTGGGAATGAGTGTGTGTCCGGGTTACATTCCTGACTCACCTGTAAGACCGCCTGTTTCATTTCCTTCGTTTTAAGAAGGCAATTGTTGACTTTGTAAAAACCCTTACCCCTGTTGATTTGTTTGTCTGATGTCAAACTCAAGAGGATAGGTTTGTGGTCCAAACCCACGTCGTACGGAAGGCTACCTATGATTACTGAATGTAACATGCCCGTTATGCCTGGTGATGTTAAGAAGTAGTCTATCCTGGAAGCCGATACGTGCTGGCTACGGTTCCTCTTTCTGTAGGTGAATTGTCTTTCATTCGGGAAAAGTAACCTATACGGGTCTATCAGTTCTAAATTCGTCATTAGCCCATGAATCGGTAGTGACTCTTCTGTCCAGCCTTCTTCCTCTGATCTAAAGCCCCCTGAAATTCTGTCTAGGCTGGGATCTAAGGTGGCATTCCAGTCTCCTGCTAAGATCAGGTGCCTATTCCCATCCAGGAGTGGTTTGAGCCTTTCGATCATGTCTGATCATTATTGATAACTATTTGGATAGTAAACTGACAGTAGCGTGTAGGGTTCCTCATGAAGCTCGAAGTCAATCTTGACCCATCTTCCCTGCTCTTCATCCACCCTTGTTTCTGTGATGTTAATCTTGTTTGTCGCCTTCGCCTTTTTGTTCTGAAGTATAACCACTCCCGTGGAATGATTGTTTGTTGCTGGGGCCCACCATGCTGCCTTGATTCTTTGCAGTTTCTTCTCTATCTGGTACTTCGTTTTCTGGTGTCCTACCGACTCTTGTAGGTGTGTTTCCTGCAAGCACAAAAAATCCGGTGGAGACAAAGAGAACCATTCTGAGTAATTTACTACGTTTTGCCACTTGTCTCCATTCTCTAAAATCCCAACTAGTCCATTAGCATTCCAAGAAGTTATTTTGAGTTCTGGTAGACCCGTACCCCCCTCTGTTCTTCTTCTCTGCTTTCTTGGTCTTTCTAACTCTCCTCTCTCCATTGGGTCTGTTCGTTAGTATGTGGGCTCACCCTCCATCTTTCCTTGTTCAGGTATCTTGTGCAGTAAGCTCTATGGTTGTTGCCACCTCACTTACCCCCCTTTCGATGAAATCTGGGTTCCAAGCAAATGCCTCCACTTTTGTCGCCACCGCTGTGCACCTTGCAACCCATTCCGCGCCTAGTTCCCCCCCTAGTAGTCCATAGGGAATGGTCTCCACCACCCGCCAAGGCATCCAAATCAAATCCTCTCTTAGTTCAGAGTCAGTCCCCATTTGAAGAAGCAGTGGCCCGAAGTCTGTCATTGTCCTCTCTTCCCCTTCCTCTCCTACTGCCATAGGCTCCACTCCTCCCTCTCTCAATATGAATGCACGAGACGGCAACTCTCCGCCTATTAATTTCTGAAGATCCGAGCCGGAGCACTCATCCGTCGGAGTTGTTAACAGCTGCAAGGATTGGCTGATTGCCACTTCCCAGTCCGAGTACCCTGCATTCCATCGACATGGTAGAACTACTCTTCTCCTCCTCCCGTTTTTGGGTTCCAGTCTGGCCGCGGCTTCGACCTCCTTCCACTTACCTGTCGCTATTTTTTGTACATTCACTGTGTCGTCCTCCAATTCCCTGTTCTCATCCTTGAGCAGGTTCACCTGTACCACCAGAATCGCGGCTTGCCTTCTCAGATCCTGGACCTCTTCCTCTTCTCTCTCTCCTTTTCCTTGCTCCTCTTCCATTGCAGCGCCCTCCATTGGGTCGTTTCTTCCCCCCACTAAACTGCTTTGCTCCTCTATGGTCTGCGCCTTTCGTTTCTTGCCGTCCCTCTTCCTTTCCTTGCTATGATAGGACTTTGGCCATTGGAATATTCTCTCATATTCCTCCTGCTGTAAGAGTATCTCGTTTCTTACTGTGCGGGACTTTCTTGCGTACTGAGATGCGTAAAACTCATTGACTTCTCCCTCCCTCCTTAGCAGTTCAAACCTGTTCTCAGGCGTAATGTCTTCCCCTGCTTGTGTAGCTTGTTGAAGGTTCCTTAGGTGTTTGTAGTGGGCCAGTCTGATTTCACACTCGATCGTCCTCCCCCATTCCAGCTGTTCCACCTCTTTTACCCACCGTTCCCTTGTCCATTCCTCCACATCTGAGTCCTCCTGTTCTACCTCCTCCTCTTCCTCTTCCTCCTCTGACGCAGATTCGCTTTCTGTGTCTGGTGAACTCTCTCTTTGGTCCTCCTCTGCCTGCAGTATCTGTTCCACTGTCATGTTTTCAGCGTTTTGCATGCCTCTCCTTCTCGCTCTTTCTCTTACCCTTTCCTCATCCTCCATTGTTACATGTCCCTGGGCACCCTGAGATCTGCCTCCGTCCTCTTCCTGCTGCGATGATCCTTCTGGGTGATCCTTGCCTGTCAAGTCTTCCTCGCTCTTATCCGCAATGCCTGTCCCATCCTCTCCTGCCCTGGTACCCTTTGAGGTTGAGTTGTGTGGGCCTGACTCTGCTTCACTTTCTTTGCCTGAAGTCTCTGATGAATCCATGCTTGTTCTGCTCTCTCCCTCTTCCTCTCCTGTAGTGGCCCCCTCCCCTGGTTGGGTCTTTTGTCTCCTTTTTCCCTGATGTGACTCTCCTTCTTGAGCATTAGACTCCTCTTCCCCTCTTGACTCTCCCTTCCTCTTGGTGGAGAAACTTCCTCCTTCTGTTCCCCCTTCCTTCCTTCTTCACAGTCCATGTTGTCTCCCTCACCCTCTTCCATTTCTTTTGACCCGTCATCATTGCCCCTTGTCTGCTCCTATTGTTGTGCTCTGGCTTCAACATTTTCCAAGAAGGCCAATTCCGCGTTTTTCCCGACCTCATGTAGTTCATTCATGAGCTTCAATCTCTGCTCATCATCCTGCATGACCGCGTCATCTAGCATGGGTTTGAGGATAAAACCGGTTTCCCTATCTTCCATTCTCTTAGCTCCAGTGTGTCTCCACCTGCTGTCGTATGGAGGATAGATGTCCGGTTTGACCATTGGATCCTTCTTCAGCACCCATACCCACCTTGGGTTTTCCAGGTTGTCATCGAATATCCATCCCCTGTATAAGGAGGAATTGATATACCAGACTCCTGGCTTGCTTTCACACTCCTGTAGCATAGATTGTCTCAATGCCACCTTTCTTCCTCCTGTTGTTCCTGATTCCCCTTGTGGACAAGAGTTCCTAGGTGACCTCTTCCCCTGCATTTGAAACAGAAAGGGTTAGTCTTAGTCGAGATGAAGACTGTGATTCTTTGACCACTTTTCTTGAAAATCCATTGGTCTGGGAACTTCGGTGGAGCCCCTGACTTGACTTCCAAGCAGGCCACCCTTGCATCGTGATTTGGCGCCAAAAAGTCGGGGTTGGCCGGGAGCCATTCTATGATTGGATTGCTTGGAAATTCCTCCAGCAGTCTCCTTTGCACAAAGCTGTGCATCCCCTCCGATAAGTTGTCAAACTGAACCCAGAAATGGTTCCTCAGCATAGATTGTCTGTGTCTTGATGCTTCGGCTTGGGGTGGTCTTGGCGGCTTCCAGGGTTGAATTGTGACTACTGCCCCCTTGCATTTCAATGATCCTATTGAAAGCAGATACTGAGCATAGGTAGGATCCACACAGACGATCATCACGACAAACCTTCCTCTCCTGTGGAATGACACCTCTGGTTCCTTCCCTGGTATATCCTCCAAGGCTATCAGTCTGTCCCTCACCCACCTTCTCTTCTCATTTAAGGAAAGCTCCCTGCTTCTTCCCGAGAATTTGAACAGAACCCCCGCATGCTTCTCATACAGCTCATTCAGAGATTGAATATTCTCTTCGGGATATTCCCAGACTTCCACTTCCTCTTCCTTCCCCCCTTCTCCCTTGACTACTTTCGTGATCTTGATCTCCGCCTTGACTTGTGTTTTCTCCATGAGGAAATCCATCGCCTTTTGTCCCAAAGAACGCGATTTGGCTTCGCCTGTTGACGGCGCTGTACCCGACTGTGATGTCGTCTGTCCCGTTTGGGGCGTTGTCATTCCCCCTTGTCCTCGGGCAAAGTCCATCTTCTCCCTCTCAGTCATTGCCTTTTGGGCTGCCATGGAATACGAGATCGCCATCTTGAAATCAACGTGTGAGGAATGAAGCTGTTAAGTAGACAGGGCTTCGCCTCCCCGCCTGGGGCACGTGGGAGAGAAAAGAAAATAAGAAAGGGCAGAGCTTCTCTTTCAGAACGTGGGATCAGCGCAAGGATTAAAAGGACAGAGCTTCGCCCCCTCGCTTGGGGATCATGGGAGAGGAATGAATATCAGAAAGGAGAAGGCTTTTCTTACTGTTCGTGGGATCAGTGCTCGGAAAAAGGCAGAGCTTCGCCTCACCACATAGGGATCGTGGGCCCTACGCGGGAAGGATGAATAACGTAGGAAGCGGGATGAATTGATTTTGTCGAGAAAAGGTAATTAGTGAGTGCCAAGAAGTCTATGCTGGAAGTCCGACTCGCCAAACAAGCTGGTAAATGGAGTGAGGTAAGCGATGAGGGGAGGGGAGTGTTTAATCGGGATTGATTAGGTGGCGAGGGAGAGGGACGTGTTGTCGGACTGGATTGGGTAGTGTGAAAAGGGCGGGATTGGTGTGGGAGGTGCGCTGGGTGTTTCCTGGGGGTGAGAAGGACCCTGGGGTGAAGGCGGGGGACGGTGGTGATGGTAGCGCGGCGAGTACGGGAGGAAAGTTCGGGGATGAGATTTGGGGAAGGGTGGTGACGATGGGGGTTACAGTTTGGGGTCGAGAGTGGGATCGTATGACTCAAGGATTGGTTGGGGGCGGGAGGTGGTAACCAGGGGTGGGATGGGGTCCGAAGGATGTCGGGATGGAGTCGGATCGAAGTTGAGACGAGGGACGAGATTGGCGAGAGAAATGAGTGATCTGGAATGTAGGGGGTCGGATTTGTGTTTGGGGTGGATCAAGGCCGGGAATGGGCGGGAGTCGAGATCGGGTGGGTCGGGATCGGAGAGAGCCGTGATCGGGGTTGGGAGGGGGTCGAGATCGGGATGGAGATCGAAGCTGAGGCTGGGGTCTAGGTCGGGATGGAGATGAGCAGGACCCGAGGGGGATAGAGATGAGCTCTATCGGAATCGGGAAGGAGACGAGATCGGGATGGGGGGTAGTTTAGAATAAGGTTGGGAATTGGGGTGGAGGCAAGGTCGGAGGTTGAGATGGAGACGAGTTCGTGATGGTTAGGATCGGAGGGAGCTAGACACGGGATTGGGAAGGAGTCAAGATCGGGAAGGGAGAGCGTCGAAGTTGGGATTGGAAAGGAGTCGAGGTCGGGATGGGGGTGGAGAGGTTTGGAGGCGATAGAGCTGGGATCTATCGGCGCTAGGGGGAGGACGAGGTCAGGATAGGAGGTATTCGAAGTTAGGATTGGGGGGGAGACGAGGTCGGGGATTGGGGGGGGAGTCAGGGTTGTGATGGGACAGGGTCGGAAAGGAGAGGGATTGGGATGGAGTCGAAAACAAGATGAGATTTTGGGGCGGAAGTGAGGTTAGGATTTGGGATGAAGTCGAGGTTTTGATGGGTTAAAATCAGAGAGAGGCGGGACGTGGGATTGGAAGGGGGAAAGGGAGGGAGTCAACGTAGGGATTGGGAAAAAACGAGGTCGGGATGGGGGTGGGGAGAAGTTGAGGAGGATAGAGGTGAGTTCTGTCGGTGACAGGAGAGGGACGAGATCGGGATGGGAAATAGTGGAAGTTGGGTTTTGGGATTGGGATTGGTAGGGCGACGAGGTCAGGGATTGGGATTGGTAGGGCGACGAGGTCAGGGATTGGGAGGGAGTCGGGATTGAGATGGGTCGGATTCGAAGAGAAGCGTGATTGAGAGAGCGCCTAAAACCTGATGGGAGGCGGTCAAAATTGGGGCGGGGGGGGGTCGAGGACAGAAAGAGGGTAGGAGGGTAGTCGAAAGATCGGGGTAAAGATAGAGGTGCGATAAGGAACGAAGGGGGGTTAGTAGCTCTCACTCATCCGGGGCTTTGTCTTCAAAAAAAGGCTTGGACATGGAAGTTCCGAGGATTGTCTGGATTGGTCGTGGTCTTCTCAGGCAATGGCGAGTCCGGCGCCCTTGAACCGATTACGCAGCTGCTTGGCAATGGTCTTCGTCTCAGGCAATGGCGAGTCTCGCGACAGATAGTAAGGGCGCGCGCTGGGGCGAGCGCCTTAACCTCCAGCTATGGCGTTACCGAATTACAGATGGTGTGGTTTCCCGTGCGCGGGAACTGAAAAGTTCACGCGAGCTAGAGAAGAGAATTATGGCGCGGACAAACAGTGCTCACCATAGAGATAAGCGTGCGCCCTAAGCGCGCGCTCGCGATGACGGGCGAGATCGGGCTATGGCGAATTAGCGAGCGCTTGTGCAATGCTTACCATAGAGATAAGCGCGCACACGAGGCGCGCGCTCGCGATGACGAGCGCGATCGGACTATGGCGAAATAGCGATCACTGTGCGCTACCCGAGCGGCGCGAGCGCTCCGCCGCGTGCACCAGTCGCCTCATCAGTCCAGTTGCGCCAGTTCCGCGTGAGTCCGCGTCAGTCCGGTTCCTATTCCCTCGGCAAGTCAAAATTGTATACATCATGAGACACACTCACGCTTCCTTCCGTCTGGCCGAAGGAACCAGCATCGGTCCGGTTCCTATTTCCCCGGCAAGTCAAAAGAATTATAATGAGCACTCACACACGCTCCTCCCCCTTAAGGTGGGGAGGTCCCAAGGACGACATTGATTACTTCCGTCAGGAAGGATGTACCCCCCTTCACCCCTGCCTAAGTTAGCCTGTTCTACTTCTATTCCTCCTTTGTTCTTCTGCTATCCTCTTTGTTCTGATGTTTGCAGCCTGTCTACTTGGGCTCTCTCCAGAATGTTCCTCTCAGCTGTTCGGCTGTCAGATACTCGTTATTTGCTGGAACTGCTGGTATGGCTTTCTGCAACAGTCTTTGCTAAAACCCTTAACCCTATCGGGCTTTTGTCGAGATTCGTGCCCTTGGCTTAGCCTTTGGCCGGAATAAAGTTTTACTCTGTCCTTCGATGTCTATCTAGATGCATTAAACTGCTCTGGCCAACTAGTCTGGAAACCAGGTGATAAGTTATTTTTGGGGGTGATGGAGAAGGGGATGATTGAGTTGATGAAAATATGGGGGGAATAAGATCGGATATTGGATATAGGCGCAGGAATATTGTAAGTGTAAGAGGAGTTGGGTTGCAGTGGCTGTGGACTAGTCTTGCTTGGTCTTTCATATTAACTTTGAAGGTCTGGCACTTTGGTCGAGAGGAGGGTGCTAGAGAGTTCGGTTTGTCTGATTTGTGGGGAGAGGTAGTGGGTTACTTCTTTTTGCCTTTCTTTTTTTCTTGTGGTGAGCTACTTACGGGAAGTTGTTTCAAACAGTTACACCAAGTGAGAGTTGTATTCTATTCCTGATATTGTTAGTAATTTATTACTAATATTTACGATATATATATTGTCACAGAACTATTGACTAAGAGCATAAGCACGTGAAGTAGAAGAAGAAATAAGATGAGCGAAGAAAAGAAAAATGAAAGGACAGACAGGCAAAGAGACAGACAAACCAGAATGACACAAAACAGTGTCCTCTTATTCTTTGTTTCACAGTACTATCATTTCTTTCAGTGTTTTACAAAAAAAAATACACCGAATCAAAGGATAAAAATAAAAAACAAAGACACACTGAAATCATTCAGTTTCTCAGTCTTCTTAACGCCTCCTCCACTATGCCTGTAACGTACAAGGCTCGCCACGTTGATGAAGTTGAGCACGAGCTGCCCCCATCCCCGTATGCCATAACAGCCCACTTGCACGCTATGGGAAAGAGGCAGAGTGAAGGAAGAGGTGTTAAACACAAGGAAGAGAGGAGCTGAAAAGGAAAACCGACAGGCAGAGGGAGAAAAAATAAAAAAAAGTGACCCACACATCTTCTTTCTTTCACAGTTTTGTCCAAGTAGACCAGCACAAACCGGTCCAACATTGCGCGGAACTCGTTGGTCATCGCCACTTGAAAAGTCGTTAGGGCATTGGTGAGGCCAAAAGGCATGACGACCCACTCAAAATGTCCGTACCGCGTCTTGAATGCGGATTTGTAGTGATTTTGCGGGCATATCGGAATCTGATGATAGCCCGACTTCAAGTCCAACTTTGAAAAGTACTTTCCGCCGCCCAAACGCTCAAGAAGATTGTCGATACGAGGAAGAGGTCCCGCATTCTTGACGATTTGCGCGTTGAGCTTGCGGTAGTCGATGCACAAGCGTAGATCCTTGTTCTTCTTCCGTAAGAAGAGAAATGGCGCACCATATGGTGAGCTGCTAAGGCAGATCCAACCCTTCTCCAACAAGTCATCGAGTTGTGTGTGGAGAACTGCGAGTTCTTCTTCGCTCATGCGATAAATGCATCCTTTCGGTGGCACGACACCCGCCTCAAAAATGATCTCATGTGAGATTGGCCGATCCGGCACCACACCGGTAGGAGACTCGAAGATATTGGTGAACTCGTCAAGCAACCGTACCACATGGGGGTCCGAAGACAAGTACGAGGGTGAAGAGTCGGCTACCGCGACGGTTCGAAGAAAACATAGCCCGATCTCGTTGGTCCGCTCGTAAGCACAAGTGGCCCAAAAAGACTTGGCCATCACAACTTGGAACCGGATCGAAGGGCGCGGAAAAGGAATAGTATACGGTACCCCGGCGCCAAAGGTAATGCGAATGGTAAGTGTCCGCTGATGGAAGTTGACCGCGTGATCTGCACTTGCAACCAAGGCATCCCCAAAATGATGTCGAAGTCTGTGTCCAAGACGTCAAACGTCACCGGTTCGCATGCATGAGGTGTGAAATAAACCGGTACGGCCTCGATTTAGCGGTCAATGAGTTGCTGCGTCCGACCGTCCGCCAACTTGACCGTCGTAGGGTGTGCCTTCCTTCGAACTTGTGCGCCAAGGCCGCCCTTTGAATAAAGGACTGGCTCATAAAGTTGCAAGTCGCACCGCTATCCAGCAAAGCGCTGCAGGACGCTTGCCCAACTTGGATGCGGACATAAAGGAGTGGTGTGTTGTTGTTGTCGCACCGCTGCGTGCAAAACTCGTGCGTCACCTTCGTAACATACGCAAGAATGTCCCCCACCGCAGCTTCGTCATTCGTCGGCGAAGTTGGTGGTGCATAGAAGGCTAAGTATGTATGGAGATGAGCGCATAGTGCTGCGCATTGCGGTTCCGGTAAGCGGCCTGTGGTAGGGAGAGGAAGCCATGCGAAATCCTCAGACGTCAACGGTTCCAAAACCTCTATATTGAACTTGGGCACCGAATCCCTGGAAGCACCACTTGAAGACGATGAAATGTCGCCGCTTCCAGACGGAGAAGAAACCGCACACACACACCTTGACCTTGAGCATGAGAACCCAGCGAACGAACGAGCCGGGCAGCATAGTCCTCGTAAGAGTAAAGAATGGGAGGACTTACGACTTCCGCGTGTGCCTTGAAACTAAGAGAGGTTGCTCGCGTGGCAACCGGTTCCGAAGGCGTCGAGAGTGTCATCGCATCACTTTCGGCGGTGCTCACTTTCCCGAATGGAAGTTCCCCTTGCCCTTTGTGGGACAACTGACTGTCTCGTGGAGATCACTGTTGCGCCACAAACAATACCGGTATTTCGTGTGTATTCGGTACACACTTTCCGAAAGACCATAGTGTGTCAAAGGTTCTTGAGCTCTTGAGCCGGGCCTGGAGTTTGAAGAGGTGTTAGTCTTCGTTTTGCCGCGTCTGCACCCTTTGGTGGGGCGACCACCATCCCGGGCAGCTGTGAATCTGTCTCCCTCATCAAAAGACGCAACCTCGTTTGAAGGGTCGCTCGGCGTTGTTGCCGCGACCATGGCCACTTTCGGTCGATGCTGATCTCTGCCCTGACCCGCAGAAGACGAACGACCAAGATTCTTGGCTTCCGCGTTCGTCACGATGATCTGTGCGGCCTTGTCGAAGAGTTCCGCACTTGTGGTGAGGGTCTCCGTGACTTGCGTCAAAGCATTTTGCAATGCCGGACACGACCTCGAAATGAAGTAGTGTTTGATGTCGTTGAAGTTCATCGGCAATTCCAGCATGGATGCCAAGCGTTGGTACTCAGCTATCCAGTCTCAACTTGGCAAGGTGTTCTGATGGAACTTCTGCAATTTGTCCATTGCCTGAAGTTTGGGCGACTCCACTTGGAATCGCTTGTGCCATGCTGCCTTCAGATCAGCCTAGCTGATCTTTGTATGCAGATCGGAGATTGTGACCCCGTGTGTGGACAGCATGTTGTCCAGCCAGGCTTGGCACGCACCCCCTGATCGGGAGTATAAATACGTGTGTCGGCTGGCGTCGCGGGTCTTATGGATTTCCAGCTTGAGATTAAACTGGCGAAACCAAGGAATAGGTTCCGCCTTCGTTGCATCGCAGAAGATCGGCTGGCCATCGAACTTCGGGATGCTCTCGCGAGGTGATGTGGTAGGACCAGCGGCTGCTGCGCAAATCTGCTGCTCAAGCTGCTGAGTTGTCGCTTGCTGTCGCTGCACACCGGTCTTGAGTGTCCCGACGTCGATCTCCAAGATGTTGCTGCGATCGCCGAAGTTGGAGGAACTGGCATCTGGAGTGGCAGTGGATCGCTTTTCCAGCTGCTGTATGCGGCTGGTCAAGTGGCCGATGGTCTGCTTGTAATCCAGGATCGCGTGGTCGAGGCTGTGGATGTCCTCCTGCTGCGTCAACGCATGCGGTTCTGTCTTGCGCCAGCATACTGGAATACCCATGGGAAAGGCATCCAGCCCGGCGCTTGCTTGCTTACTGTCCGCGTACTCTGAATTTGTCTTTCTCAACGCTCTTGGGAGTATGAAACCTTTTACCTATGGGGCTCATATCATGGATGACGTGTCCATCTTTGTTCGTTACAGGAGGGATGAGGAAGACTCAAGGAGATCTGCGGAGGAAGTGATACGAATGTTCGAAGGTTGTTACCACAACAATCTATCCTTGGTACGAACTGACGAAGGGTCGTTTTGGGAGTTTCTGGGATGTGTTGTCGGGGTACGAGACTGGCCTGATGGAGTAGTCTGCACTGCTACGCACAAGAATCAGGGAGGAGTAAGGAGTGGGGTGTTGATTTCCAGAACCTGCAGGATTTTTGCAGTTATCCGAGCCGGCAACAAAAATTGGCCGTCATTAGTTCTTTCCTGTACAGGGCGAAGAGGTTTACCACCATGAAGGGTGCTGAGGTTGTTTTCCTGTTGACGCTGAATATAGAGTTGTGTTTGAGAGGCTTTCCTGACTCCTATTTTGACACGGCACTGACGACCTTCTCAGCGAAATTTTGGGGGGTTTGGGATGAGTGGGTTGGGTGTCTGACAGGGTGGGAAGATTGCGGGAGAAGGAAGAAACGCACCGAGATTCTGCAGAAAGGAGTGGCTGTTAAGAGGCGTGGGTAATGATTTTTACCTCTACTCTTTGTTTTTCTTTTTCCTTTTCTTCTTCTTTTTCAATTTTTTTTTTCTTCTTTTTCAATTCCTTTTGTTATTCTTTCTTCTTTTTTCTTTTTTCCGTGTCTTTCTTTTTTGATCCCCCTCCTTTTTCTTCTAAATACTCTCAAGGATCAAGTAGTGATAGCTGGCTTCTGGAGATAATTGTGCTCCACTGCTGTTGTTTCGTCCATGGATCCGAAGTGGGTAACTCTACGGTTTTTTGTCTGTAGGCTGAAGGTCGGCTATACTGGTTTTGGAGATATTGTGGTTCACTGTGACTTTTGGTTCTGCTCTACCCATGCAGTGGGTACCTCTGCCTGTCCCTGGTCTAGAGGTGGGTACCTCTCTGTTTTCTTATCGGGAGTCTGTAAGTAGGCTATACTGCATTTTCTTCTGTTCTGCTCTACCCATGTAGTGGGTACCTCTGCCTGTCCCTGGTTTAGAGCTGGATACTTCTCTCTGTTTTCTTGTCGGTAGTCTGTTAGGTAGGCTGTCTCCTGTGGTCTAGACCTTTGCCTGTCCTTGTCCGCCGACCTGTACTACTCTATCTCTCGTCTGTCCCTCTAATCTGGTCTATTCACTCGTGGTCCTTCGCTCTGAACCCCGGTTCTAGTCTTCCTTTGGACTTTTTTCTGTTGCAAGATTAAGGTAGTGTTTGTGGACTATCTGTAGGACTTGGTGAATCTTCTCCGTCTAAGTACTATTTTGGCCCTCGGATCTCTCGGACTTGTCATGAGACCTGTTTGGGTCTGTGTAGCAGGTTGATTAACTACTTAAGAAGGAATGTAGATAGTGTTTAGACTCCTCAACTCACGACGAATTCAGACCCCCCTGATGAGTGCCGGTTGGCGACCGGTCGAAATGTGCGTAGGGTCGCGCCTTTCGAAACTGGCTGGAGTAGATTAGAAGGTAATTATCAGACTTTGTCTGGGAATTGTCGTTTATTGCATGATGCCGGTTTACTTGGTGGGCTGCGTGTTCATGATTTAATTTCTGATGACCTACCAGGGTCGCATTCGGGAGAATCACTGTGTACCTCCTTCTCTCTCCTGTCTGCCTAGTTCTTTTATCTACCTCCTCCTACTCCTCCTTGCGGCTCTTGATGATGTCAGTGTGTCTTGCTGTTGTTCATTGACTTGCCTACTGAGTATGCCATTGATACTCGTTTGACACTATTACCTGTTGGGCTCTGCACGTGACTCTTAGGGCTTGGCTGCAGTACTCACGAAATGTGCAAAATTAGAATGAATCTTCTCCAGAACGTGGAATAATACGCCACCATATGTTTTGTCTTTTGCGCATTTGGTGAGTAGAGGCCCTTAGGGCCACAGCACGTATTCCTAAGAAAGGAAAAAAAACGATAAAAGAAAAGAAAAGCAAGAAAACAGAGAAATAGTGACCCATAACCAAGATGCACAGACCTGAATTCAAATCCAGACTATATATTCGCTGCCCATCCTCACGGAATACAAGTTTGAAGTGTTTCTCTGCATGACGTCGGGTCCTAGCTAATATGCTGTAGGGATCCTTCCGAAAAGAGGCTGGACACAACTAGGACGTTTTTATTTTTCTACCTTTTTAATGCGCCGCATCACATGTGCGGGCGTGGATGCGCGTGCGGCACCCCCGGTCCCCCGCGCATGAGATGCACCGCAAGTATGATTCAAACATCTCTCTCTCTCTCTCTCTCTCTCTCTCTCTCTCTCTCTCTCTCTCTCTC